TGATGCTTGATTAAAGCTGCATGCAACTCCTTTCGCCCGTCCCCCTCCGCCACTCCCACTCGCATTGGCTCCGGCACTCGCACTACCACTCGCACTCCCTCTTGCCTGTCGTCTGAGTGGGAAAGAAAGAATTAAAAGAGGCGTCCGTGGAGGCCGCTGGCATTGCCTGCAACTTCATCTAAATGTTCATTTGTTATGCTGTCGTCGGCCGTGATCATCATCATCGCAGCCATAATCATCATCTGCCATGCCACAGCCCCATCCCATACCATCCCATTCCGTGCCCCCTGGCAGGCAGCCAACAAGTGTCTTCAAACACACTTCTTGCCAGCTGCACAGGCGCCGCCGGCGATGTCTTCAAGTGGCTTGCATAACCGTGATGAGCATATAGCTGGTCTTGGTAGTTAAGAAAACAAGCTGAACTAGCTAAATGCAGCAGTTTCTATATAACGTCGAAGAGTTGGCCAATTTGGGGACCACCTTCCGCCTTAACTTTGAGCCCAGATTCATGACTTTGGCCACATTTTTGAAGAAAGTACACTAGTTAGCAACAAGCTGTTACCGATCTCCCTTGGGAGTTTAAGTGTTGTTGGCTTTCCGTTCACTACTTGCTCAGCACTGGCTAGGCATTGGCTGCCGGTTCTCCGCATGCAAATTGCCTGGGCCGCAATGTTTTGATTTTATTCTCATTTTGATTATTTTGTTCGCTCCACTTACAGATTGCTCAGAGACGGGTAACTCTTCAGCGTGGGCTTTGGCATGGTCTGCTCTGGTCTGGTCTTTTCTGGCCAGCTGTGAAGTGCAGTTGAAATTGCTCCGGCGTGGGCTTTTCCAGCTTTTCCAAGTTGTTCGAGAAGTGCGTGACATGTGTTGGAAAGTGCCAGAACGGCAGTTAACATATGGAAATGTTGCAAGTTACTAGTCGGCCTCAAACTTTGTCTGATGGACATCGGAAAGTGGGTAAGTCACGTTCACAAACGATGGAATAAAGATGTCGTTGGCCTGACCCCATGAGATCCAATGAAATTCAATCTGAAATTGCCCCTGAGATGCGACATCGGAACTCCAGATCTTTATTACATTTGCTCGTCTATAGGGAGGGAAATTCCTACTTCCTCGTACATCACATCTGACTAATTTCCTGTCTCTCTGCTTTGAACGGACACTCATGATAAACGTAATTGACAAACATTAGCAGGCAGTTCCCCAGGAAGCCGTCGGTTGGCCATACAAAACGATTCATGAGATACTCGGTCTCGGTGTATACGGTCTCTGCGGGGACGGCTGCCCAATAAACAGCTCAAGATTTATGCATGCAAGCGTTTTATTGGCCCAAATCCAGTTCCCAGCCATGTCCGGGGGCGCCCGAACTGCAGTAAGCAATTCGAAGCGGAATTGGTATCGGAGCACTAAAAGAATCCAGTTCGCACAAATGTGTGCCAACAGAGATATGAGGTTTCCTGGCTAGTCAGGTCAGTCCTTAAGCCTACGGGGTTCACATGAGTTGTGTCCAGCGCTTTTCATAGCTTAAAGGGTCTATAAATTGTTTAATTTTATTAAACGTGATTCGATAAGTGTGCCAAACTTGTTTTAGCCTTCGGTGGAACATCTACAAATCACTGAAACTGCATTCAAACCATTTTCTGTATGGTGTAGATTGTTAGAAATTTTCTTCAGGGTCTTGAGTGGGAGAGCATGCATTGTCCCCAAATGTAATCCCTGGAAAGTATTTATAGTCTAAAGCCGAAAAATTAAAGCAGACACTCACTCTCTTGCTCTCCATTTGGTTGCGCCACAGAAGCCTTTGAAGTATGTCAATGCATTGCCAGCCACATGTGGAACATTTCGCACGACACCAGCTCCAATTCCGTAGCCTCTGTCCCCCCCGTAAGGGCCGCCAGCTTTGGCAAGTGTCTGCGCCTGCTTAGGCCGTGATAATTTATGTGGCTGCCGCATCTCTGTCCCCATCGTCGCAGCCGCTCCGACACTTTGATCCGTGCCGACAACAATGCGCCCAGCCAGTTCCCCAGGAATTTTCCCTCTCGACTTGAAAGCGAAAGTGACATTTTACTAATTTAGCATTTTGAACGCGTCTCGTGTCTTGCGGTTGTGCTAAAAGATTTATTTGCGAAATTGCAAGTGCAGCAATCCCGCCTCGCTGGCTTTTAATTAAGGCCACCTCCTCTGGCCACTGGCTAAATGGTAATTTATCCCATAATTTAGCTATGGATGCTGGCCATGCTTCCGCGGGAACTGATTGATTAATGTCTGGACGGGAATGCCCTTTGTAGGAGTGGATTGGGGAACTTTGAAGGGAGTTCAAGGAGAATCGGGTCTTTAAAATTAATGGAGATGCGAATACAATGAGCTGTCGGTACATGGGTGCAACCCATATCCCAAAAATAAACTTTATTCTTTATAGAAAATCCTACCGTTCAGTGTGATTAGCTGAAACTAATTTCCCTGTACAAAACCCTGTTTACGGAGTAACAAAAGCATTTCGATTCCCTTTTGGTGATATAATTAAAACATAATACAATCCATAAACCAATTAGCGTCGAATGGCAACGATGTGTCTGGGCTTTGGCGAGTTTTTCCGCTTTATCCAGCTATCATTTCGAGAGCAATCCGCGCCGGTTTTTTTGTGGATTGCCAATCAAATTGCATTGGCAAACGATTTAACAAGACCGTCAATAACCGCAACAACAACGGGAACGGGAACGGTAAGGGGAATGGGAATGGCCAAAGAAAACATGGCAAAATAATTCAGAGGCAAACAAAAGGCATTCAATTAAAATTTGCACAGTTTGCTGGGCATGGCCATGCATTTAATACAATTTACGCAAATTAATTTCGCTCCAAAACTGCAAAAATGCAAACAGCAGCCAAATCAGAATCGCTGTAGAGAATGCACGGAATTCCATCTATGCGACGGGACAAAAACCCATAGTATAGCCCTCTATGGATCGGATCGATTCGGCAGACAACCGAAATACAATATTAATGGCCTATATAAATGGCAGAAATACGTACACACAATACTATATGTGTGTATGTATAATTGCAATCGAAACAGCAGTTAAACGATAATATTTTGCATAAAAACAATTTGCGAAAATTGCAAAAACCGAAACGCTAGGCGGAGAGTGAAAGAGAGGACCGATGCAGAGGGTTACGATACAATGCAATACCAATTTGTCGTATTGTTTACCAATGGCCAAAAAAACAATGGCTTAGGCATTGAAGGATATGGCAATGAATGATGTGTAGGGTCATCCATTTTCCACCAGGGCTTCTGTTCAGCTCTCTTCAGTTCTGTGTGTTTCGGTTCAGTTCTGTCTGCAAATTCGGGTCATGCGATAAAAACAATAAATAGTTTTTGAGAATTTATGGCATTTTAAGGTGTTTGCACAAGTGCAATTCACCAAATTGATGACTATCCATTCAGCTGGCAATTAAAATGGAATGCACTCAAAAAACCAGCATAGATTTCAGACGAAATGCAGCTGGGGGCAATATTAAATATTTCTTAATTTATTAAGTAGAAACACGTGACTTAAGCTCTTAAAGCAGTGCAATCAAATTTGTTGAAACCAAAATGAGCTTCAAATATTTATAGTGCGTCTGCTTTCAGACCTCGCGGATCCATGAAGGGCCGCAACATTGCAGAAGGAAGGCTTCACAAATATTTTCATATGCAGCCTTTGGCTGCCGGTGCAAACACACAAAGTGTGAAACCCTTTGAGACGCACTAGACATTCCATTCCCAAAAACCATAAAAAAAGCCAAAGGAAAAAAAGATAAAAAAAACGAAAGCAGAGCATTGGGCAACGAAGCCGTTGATACCCTTCGAGGTCGAATGAGGGAGATGAGTTCTCTAGAAAGCCATTGCGAGAGCGATGAGATATAGTGATTTGATCCGACTTACTACTAAAAGTAGTAGTAAAAGTAGTGCTCAAAGGTTTAGTCGGATGACTTTAGCGGTGAGGTACCGCATGACTCTGGAATCGCCAAACCCTTTCTGTAGAGTATATATACCACTGGAACGAGGTATGTGATACAGTGGGCGGCGCAGAAGAAATAACAAAGCAAAAATGTATGAAAATTGTTTTACGGCAAGTGTGTGCGATGTGAAAATATTATGAGTTAGTCGGTCTGGCTATGCACACTCGTGTGCTTGCCGCTTGAATTAAAATGAATTTAAGTGGTTTGCTTTTGGCCAAAGTTGTGCCCTTTCCGCATACATACATGTGTACATGTGTATGTATCTACTGGCATCCTCGCAGCCTCCTGCACATCTGGAGGAGGAGCAGAGAGCAAGGGAAGCGTGCATAATGCTTAGTGGTAGACGGAGAAGACAACTTAAATTCATATTTACCACGAAAATGTCTGAAAAGTTGCAACGAGTTATTAATTACGCGGATATAATGGGAATCCGCAATTGTTTGGGCTGTGAAGAGAGGGCCCAAAAAGTTGAAATAAACTCAAATTAAAAACGTAATGGTAGAAGATCATAACTGTTTAAGAGAGAGATAGAGAACTTTAAACTACAATCCAGAAGATCCATTCTAGATCTACTCTCCTTCATCGGATTGATATGTAAATTAGATACAGAAAATGGCGCAGTCCACAGAGCAAATGTTGCATTTATTTAAATATTGCTGCACATTTGCATTGTCTGACAGACCAAAAGTCAAAAGTTGAACGAATTTATTTACAAGCGTCTGAAATTGCCAATCACTAGCTTCGAAAGTATTCTGATCGACAGGAAATAGAATGACTAAATACCATCCCATGAATATATTTTCCCCAACGCATAACTAACACCTATTCAGCATTTTCTTCGATACTCTGCTTAGAAACTGGCATATAAGGTTCTCCGCTGTGTGATTATTTTATTATCAATGGCATTTATTATTTCCAATTTTCAACCGAGACATACCGTTTTACGTGTTACATTTAAACTCTTATTTATATAAAGACGCTCAAAACTAACCAAATCAAGTATGCGGCAGCAGAGACAAGAAGAACTTGAACAGCGCAATGTAGAACAAAATACCTGCAAGCACAGAGCCAAGATAGTTTCAAGAACGACAAGAGTATTACGGAAGTCTACTCACCGAGATAGAATCCTACGTCCATGATCCAAAGAAGCTTTCGTCGGTGGTTCCTTGAACAAATGTAGTCGCATACCATTCAAGGTAGACTTGAAATAGTCGTCCCAGTTCATATTCTCCATATTAAAGTTGAACACGCTTTGATCTTCCGTGGACATATGGTCCCATAATGCCTCAGTGTTATCCCTGTTAAACCAATATGTTTTCTTATTAAAGGGGAACAGTGCCACCACATTTTCGTGGACTTTGCGATAGGCCTTCACTAGGCGCGGTTTTTCGCCACTCAGCCGCAGGAGGATGTCGTACAGAAAGCCGGGCACATAGTGGTAAAAGATGCAGCCCAGACTAAACAGCCAAGGAAATGTGGTGGCATGTAGAAACGGGTACCAAATCATTTTGGTCATCGGAACCAGCTTGCCACTGTACATGCCCTTATCTTTGAGATCCCCAAAGGTGATAATATTTTTGTTGCTAGGTGAGAAATTATAAATGGTGGGCACTGTCTTTTTCTTTGCGTTCCTTGCCGTTTCCCATGCGCTAGCCACGACCATGTTGCCGCAATAATCGCCGGGAACCACAGGGGCGTGAGCCTTGTAATTGCAAAGCAATAGGTGCAGGACACCGTAGGTAATGCCGTATATTAAGGCGATGAGTCCATACGGGTTGTCAATCCATCCGGAAGAAGGCTCCTTGTAGTTGGCAAATACTATCGTTGGGAAGATTGGAGGTTATCGAAGCGCCACTCGGCTGTCAGTCAGAGGAGTCACTTACTAATGGCAGGCCGAAAGATACACACCGGAAGGTCACCCGCCTCACCTTGGATCACTTGCTCTGCCAGGCCCTTCGTATAGCTGTATGTGTTGGGGAAATTTCCCAGCAAGGCAGGCGTCATATTGTCCAAAAGCGCGGCGCTCAGTGTCTCTTTTAGCTGCAGCGCCGTATCCACAGAACAGGTAAAATTCTCAGGATAGAACTGCTCGTGAATGTGTTCCAGCACGCAGTTGGAATAGGCTGTGGAGATCTGGACGAAGGCCTCCAAGCGATGCATTTCCCTGGCCAGCTGCAGCATGAGGCGCGTGGCCCGCGTGTTGATGGCCAGCGCCGTATGCATGGGCTCGTTGAAGCGGACTGTGGCTGCTCCGTGAATAACAATCTGCACCTCTTTTACCAGTAGCTTACGATCCGCATCACTAATACCTAGGTCCGGCTCCAGACAATCCCCTGCTATGGGTGTCATCAGCTCCAAGGCCCTTGGTTTTGTCTTTAGTAGTGCCTCGAAAATCTGTAACAGGAGGGCGTAAGAGCGAGCGTTTTCAGCATGACAGTCGTAGGATACTCACCGGCTGGCTCATCCATTTTGCAACGCGCGTCTTGACATCCTCGTTTTTCTTAGACCTGACCAGAAAATATATGTGTTTCGGATCTGTTGCTCGTAGGATCTTTTCAATGATCACTGAAAATTAAACGGTACAATTTGTCTTTTGCTTTCACTTATCCTGGATATTACAAAGTCCATGTACCTTTTCCTAAAAACCCAGTGCCGCCTGTTACAAATACAGTCTTGTCCATATAAAAACGTTGTATTTCAGTGTCCATTTTGCGTGGCGAAAATCGAATCCTGCTGTATGCTATAGACGCGACACCCTTATCAATTGAGGAGGGCCCAGCAAGTCTTTCCATTTATATTTATACTTCTGACTATTCTTAGTCCAGTGGGTCTAAGCATATTCATTATTCCAAATCGCATTACAGCAATGCAAGTACAGTGAGGGATGTATTATTCGAAATTACTGATTCCAAAAGTTGATAGAAATGGTCTTCGGTTTTATTTTGATAATCCGAATTTTTAGTCTTTTTTACTCAAATCGGTACGATTTAATTTATTTAACATACATACATATGTACATGTTCAAACATACAATGTGCATATGTTCCTAGCGATCAAACCGTATATTTAATTCGTCGAAATGTATGTAAGCGTACATATATGTATGAAGATGATATAAACAATTCAAGACCAGTCTTCGAGTCGAGTATTCCGATTAAAACCATTGTTTCGACTGTGCAAAATTGGAATCCGACTTTACTTTTACAAACTGACACGATGCGAGTACGAGTGTGTATGTATGCCAAATTCTGTGAAATAAAAAAAACAAGCGGGAACGTTATCGGGAACTTATGATCGATCTAACTTATACAAGATATTTTATTCGTTACTATTCGTGAGCGCCCGAAGTGGTACGGAAACCGATAACTGCCGCATCTCTCTATCTCTCTCCCTCTCTTTGTATCGGTGTTCGTAAAGAGACGTATGTCCGCATTCTCTCGCAATTTTGCTAGCACTTGTTATAAGAAATAGGATAAAAGGTTCTTTCTGGGTGTTACACATATCCACATCTGATATTCCCCTAAAAACTTCGAGTAACCGTTATAAGAACCAGCCAGATTCGGTCTGTAAGCTTGTAATATCGAGCATTTCTGTATGAAATATTAATTTCCAAAGGTGCTTTAATAACACATATATATAAGTTCAATAGATATAATAGATACGGCTTGCCCCACTCGATAGAGTCATCAACACGCAACGAACGGACGGGGTCCGAAGTCAGACTTTAATTAAACTCACGATCATGTGCAATTTTGTGAGCAATTAAAAAAATCAAGGCTGGAAAAATCACTTCGCCTGCTCCGCAGAGAGATGGATAGACAGATGGAGGCGTTTCTGTGTGAATAGCCGGGAATGGAGCGGCGAGATTTGCTATCAGTGCTGCCCCGCCCATCGGAATCGAGGGGCGTTTGTGGCAATTTTTCGCGTTGAGTGCAAATTGCGAGTGCCTGGAGAGGGATGGGGAGGGGGGAGGATCGGTGTGCGGATCGTTGAGCAGTTTTCCTTTTTCCAGTGCAAATAAGCAATTAGCTGGCTTAATAACTCAATGGGCCTGCAACCGGTTGGCATTTCCTAATAGAATTTTTCCACCAGTTGGGTCTGGGGGGGATAGTGTGAGCGTGAGTGTGGTGCAGCATCAACTTAACTTTGCCTTTTGCTAAACCGTCCGCGTAAAAGTTTGCTTGCAACAAAGTTGGCGAGGCACAAAGTAAATGAAGCCGCCATCGCCGCCACCGCTGCGCTGCAGCCTCAATTTAAAATTAAGCTCATGAAAAGTAGTTAACCTCCAAAGCCAACCCCCGGCCACACAGGCTTGGCATCCCTTTGGCCCCTGCCCCTGCCTCTGCCGCTGCGGCTGCCTCTGCCACCCCGAAAGCCGTTAACTACAGCACAAAGTCAACGATAGGATGGGGGAGATCCCACAGCGTGGGGCTCGCTCTTGTTCGCATTAAAGTAAGCATGAAATTAAAGCCCAACCGAAAAGCTCGACTTGCAGCCCTGATGGACGCGCGTGGCTTCCATAAGCGTGTGGTTGGCGCTTTGTCAGGGACGAGCTTGGTGAAGGGTGAGGGGTGAGGAGTGCTGGGTAGCAATCCTGCATTGTTGTTGCAGCAAATTAGCTGGCACGTTGAATAAAAAGTAGCGCGAAAATCCCATTTTTCGCCCATTGTTGTTTGGTCAAAGATGCGAAAAAGAGCTCAAATGACCCCAAGTTGGATGCACTGTGCGAAAAGCGGTGGATAATTAGAAAGGGGAAAGCAATATTAGATGGAAAGTTATGATGAAATTGTATATGGGGGAAATTGGAAATTCCACTTGATGTTGCCACAAAACTACAGATTGTATCGCCCATAATTAGTGCCTTCTATCAGCTTCCAGCCCATTCCTGTACTCCTTCTACTCCTCCACGCTTTGATTTCTCCAAGTGCACCGCCTGATACGCCTTTAACCTCCGCCTGAAGAGCTGAAGCAAACGAAAGCGCATCCCATACCCAACACCAACACCAACACTCACTGCCACTGTTACTCCCACCCTGCTGCACTCATTTGTTGTGTCCCTAATTTGGTCTTCCCTCCCGTTCGCCTTCTACTGCTATCGGTCCTCTTTGGGCTCTTCCTGCTTCGTGCCATTTGTTTCCCCGATATGCTCCAACGTTGAAGCAAAAATAAAGTTACAACACCCAAAGGTGTAATTGAATCAAATGGGCAAAAATTTTGAGATTACTTCAAAATGTACGCCCGGAGACGAAGCTCATTTAGCAGGAGGCAATCAAATGCAGTCCTGGCGCCCCACTGAAATTCTTTTTATTGCTGACTGATGTTTGGGGGCCCGATCCGAGGGAGGGTTGCATTTGTTCTGCTAATAACTGAACATCACAATAGGGGGGGGATATTCTTTTGGGGGTTGATTTCAGGGAGCCAAAGCAATCAGTGAAAGTGCCTGCCACAGGCGTCGGTCGCTTCCGCTGCGTCAAACGGAAACGGAAGTTGCACACGCCGCAAAGCGTGGCACGGAACGTAGAGCCGACACAGGAACGGAATGCTTTTCACGCACATATGCCCCCAATCATCATCATCGTCATCAGCATAATGCGGCCGAAAAAAAATATTTAGAGACAGAATTATGACGGGGCCCAAAGACAAAACGCAGACAGAACAAAGTGCAGAGCAAACAGAGTCCAAATGCGATTGCTATAGGCCACAAAAGCTGACTACCGAAATGGCATTTAAGCTGCTTTCTGCTAAGCAGCACTGGGAAAGTGGGGACTGCGGCCCAGGGCCAGGCCCCAGCGGTGCCACAGAGCGAACAGCGGTGGCAACATCAGTCTGGTGATTTATGTGCACTGTTGAAGGTTCAAATAAGCGTTAAGTTTTCATTTCCGCTGGCGCCGCACTCGGCTCTGGCTCCGGCTCCGGCCCCGGCTATGGCTGTGGCTCCGGGTCGGTGTCCGTGTCCGAGTGAAATATCCACGCAAAAATGAAGCTGGAAAAGAAATATTGTTTCTTTTTTTGCACTTCCTCTGCTGAAAGAGTCTTGGCTTAGCCTCGGACTTGGAGGAGCGTGGGCGCGGGACGGGTTGCTCCTCAGCTATTGCCAAAACAAATTAAGAGAAATGCTAAAACAAAGTGCCGACAGGGCTCCAAAGTCGGACTCAATGTGGATTTAGCGGCAAGGGGTCGTCCAGCCGAAAGGAAAAGAAAAATACTCCAAGAAAGGGAAACATTAGGGAAAATAAATTATGAAGACAGCGGGCATATGGACCAGGTGAGTGCTGTCACATAATGAAGGGAAGTGCTTAATAACCTGTCAGCCGGACAAATCCTAATGGAAACACAGTTCAATATACATATGTATACAGTATGTAAAGTATTATCTTCCGATCCAGAAAACTCCAACGAAATTATCTTTCCACCTCTGGCAAACCAATTCCGAAAGTTAATCATTTAAACCCTGGAGCCCTTGCCCAACATGATCTACAGCACTCTTAAACTGCCATTGTTAAACCCCACCTGAGAAGGAATCCGAGGCAATTAATTAAATGTAAGGAATCCCTGTTAAAATATCTTTTCATCTGCTAAATTGCCGGAAAACTTTTGGCCCCACCTCCACAGACTCCCACGAAAGCGTTAATCAATTCGAGCTTCGCACAGAATGATATTTGCAGCAGAAAGAAAACTAAACTTCACTTCACTTCGGTATTTTATTTATTGCTTAAATATTTTACTGCTCCCTCCTCACAAATTGTTAAAGAACTCTCCGGCGTACAGTGCGGCGTATACGCAATTTATCAACGCATAACAACGGCAATTAATTTGTGCGTTCGCGTTACAGCGCCGGCAACAACACGAAGAAACATCAACTTTTATAAATCAAACGTAACGAGCGTGTAAAACCTGACGGGGGCCCCAGGTAGGATGGCTTATACCTCCGCGCCCCAGCGGCAAACAGCTTTTTGGGGGTTGCTTTTCATTAGGTGGTGGCATTTTTACAGTCCCAGTCCCCGAAAGGAACTTTTCAAATAAAACTCAATGGAAGAAATATTTACAATTGACTCTGAAACATTTTCAGCGTTTGGCAGGCGTGACTTTGCCTTTGTTTCATTGTTTTCGTTCACTCTGCTCTTTTGTTGCTCTCCAGTCACTGGCTCTCCCTCGGAGGGCCACGCGGCGTATGAGTTATTTATTTTTGAATTATTGGCATTTGAAACTTTGCAAGAGGCTCAACGGCTGGGAATGAACGTGCCCTCGGCTTTTGGTTTGTGGGCTGAGCCTGGTAGCAGGGGAAAAGAACGTTAGCCCTACCAATGGTTGATAAATGATTCCCATTTTGGGGTGTATTTAAAATTGGGCAAAGAGATTAATGGTTTGCAGGGAGATCGTTGGCAACTCCTTGGCAACCATCAGCGATTCATTAAAAATGCATAACCGTTTCAGATCTGTTCAATAACGATATATGAAAGCTTAGATTAATAGCCAATTCCGTTTCATAGCTGATTCGAAGACCGAAGACTTCTGGGGCTCAAAACTATAAGCAAACATGACTTTTACCAAGCTTCCTTTGTTACCCGTTTGAAGTTTCTGTCCCATCAACCTTGAATATCCTAAGCTTCAACTCTTCCCTAATCTTCTTGTCGACACACCTGTCCATCGCATAAGCACCTGCACAGCAATAACATCTTCAGCAACAATAACATCCTCATCAAGAATG